TTTTTTGTAGAGAGTTCAAAAGTCATGTGAAGCATCATATGCGAAGTCACACGAACACATCTGTAGAGGTGGACAAACGAGTCCATAGGGAATTTCCTGCTTGGTTTGCACGTCGAATAGCAAATGACAACATCTCCCACCCATCTAATCTTTCTATTCTTGCACTTGGTCCAATTGATCATGCACATAGGTTTACAGCATATAATGTCAACAGATTTAAGTTTTGCACAGTTGCACGTGATCAGGGTTTGCTTACCCAGAACTATGGAGTTTTTGGCACCTTTGGAACTAGGAGTTATGCAAGCATCAGCGATAACAATATGACTTTTGGGGGGTGTCCCATATTTTGGGAAGCTTGTAGACATTATTGAATTAAATTATAATGGCTCTTTCACTGTAACTCTATTCAAGTGTTCTTGGGCAAACACCACAACTTCACGTGGTATCATGACTAATGAATTGGGCATAACATCTATCAATTTCTCAAGGCTTATTCACACTGGTGAATCAGAGGATGATGAGCCATATATACTTGCTTCGGAGGCACATCAGGTTTATTATGCGGAGGATGAAAAACATAAAGATTGGAATATGGTCATTCATCTCAAGCCTCGAGACCTTTATGATATGGGTGATGGTAATGAGATCAATTAAGAGAGTGACCCGTTCCAACCAACTAACTTGGATAATTATTTCCCTGATAGAGATGAGAATTGACCCCTTCTCAGGTACATATTATTCAACTTAAATTTTTATTAACTACATTTCTTATATATATTTAAAATAAGTTTGTTTTTACCCTTTCTTTTCATTTATTTTTTCAGGGATGATGATGAAGACTGAAATGTTCAAGAATCTTTATATGTATATATAATTTTCTTACCATAAATATGAATGTATTTTAGCTAAAATATAAGTATATAAAATTTTATTTATTTGATACATTATTAGAAAATAAGTTACTCAAATTTAATAATTTGCAACGGTTTTTGCTACAATCGCTGCAAATGCATGAGTTTTGCAGCGGTTCTTTTTTGAACCACTACAAAAGTTTAAAAATTTGCATCGGTTCTTAATAACAGCTATCGTAATTGCCACAAATTTAAACTTTTTTTACAATGGTTATTATCTTAACTGTGGCAAATTTAAAATTTTTGTAGCGGTTTCGTAATCGCTGCAAAATTCACATATTTCTTATAAATACATCCCAATCTACTCGCCATTTTCTCTCCTTTTTTTTTTTTCCTCTTCTCCTTTCGGCTTCCCTCTTCTTGTTTCACTTTGGTTTCTGTTTCACTCATTTCATCAGAAGTAAATTATTAAATATTAATTTAGTATATTTCTCTTTTTTTTATTTTTATCAATTTTAAACTTTTTTCCCTCTTCTTTGCAGGCTCAGATCATAACGTATTTTTATTTTATATAAATTATTCATTACAGATGAAAATAATTTTTAATAACTAATAATAACACATCAGAATCTAAATTTCTAATAAAATATACAAATTACAAAAAGTATATATATTTCATATTTTTAAACTAGTCATGTTTTTTTAAATATTTGGTAAATGAAAATCAAAATTATGCAAACAAAAAAATCAATTACAAAAATAAATAAATTAATATTTTTAACTAAAAATGTGTATGAATTTGAAATTAAAAACATTTGCAACAGTTTTAAATAACCGCTACAAATTTGAAATCAGCAAGCGTTTGTAGCCGTTATTGAAAACCACTGCAAATTTGAAATCAACAACAATTTGCGGCGGTTGTCGAAGACCACTGCAAATTTCATGTCATCCAAAATTTGCAGTGATTATTCAAAACCGCCGCAAATGCTATTTCAGAGGAATTTTTCCCTCCACATTTGCAGCGGTGAGGAACTGTGGCAAATTAAAAAAAACCGCGGCAAATCGTACTTCTGAAAATATTTGCAGCAGTTATATCATGATTTTGCAGCAGTTTTTACAACCGCAACAAATAGTTGCAGCGGTTCTGACAATAACTGCTGCAAATATTTGCAGCGGTTTGACCACATTTATAGCGGTTTATTGGAACCGCTGCAAATTACATTTGCAACACCTATTTTAGTAGCGGTTTTGGATACCACTGCAAAGTCATTTGCAATGATTAAAACTGCTACAAACACATCAAAATAACCGCTACAAAGTACTCTTTTTTTGTAGTGACAATTAACAACTTAAACTAGTGAGCAACTAAATATGGTAATAAGCTTTTGTTCAAATTTTTGCAAACAAAGGGGATTCATCCCTAAAGCATCCTCATGACATTCATGCCGGAAGTTTGACAATACACCCTACCGAACAAATTCAACACTTAATTAATTTGACATGGACACTTTTGATGTTACAACAAATAAGCTATTCCAAGTAATAAGTAAAGTATAACAAATCACAACTCTGCAAATAACAGTTGTTTCAAGTAACAATACTGAATATGGAAATAACATGTTTACTATTGTAAATAACAATTGAAGTATAACAAATTACAAATATGCAAATAATAACCATTCTAATTAACAAGATTGAATATGAAAATAACAAGTTCACCATAATAAATAACAAGTGAAGTATAAAAAATTACAGCTTTGGGAATAGCAACTGTTGCAAGTAATAGTCAAACTTGTGTCCCCAAACTAAAGTAATAGTCACTGGTGCTCCAGATGTAAAGCTTGATAAAATTCAAACCACATAATAGAAACTTTTAACATATCCAAAATCATATAAAGGTCATCAAGTTACTGAACATATGATTACAAAAATCATTAATCATTTTTTTGGGAATTTGATCAAGTTAATTAATTAATCATGCATGCTTGACCCACACAGTAAAAGACAAAATCTATTTCAATTTCATTAGAGATCAGCGCGCAAAAAAATGTAATGATAGAAAGACCAAATCTTGTATAGTTTGTATTATATAATCTACTTGCAAACACATACTCAAATCCAATCAAAGTCTTATCTAGAAAATTTTTTATATTAATTTTGGCTTGTGTTTTTAGCCATATGAATGGTAGCCAGAAACTGATAGTGAACAAACCACTATTCAACTTTCTTTCGGTCAAATTCCTAAGAAAACAAGTTAGAGAAAAAGAAAAAACAATCGCAGCAGGAACTTGAAATTCTTAGTAATTTTAGGGGACAACATCGGCGAACAGCTCCATCTTGTATCAACAATCTTTTCACAGAGGAAGAAAAGAGAGCGAGAGAAGTGGGGAGAGATGGGGGTGGCATTGAGGAAGGAGGTGGGGAAGAGGAAGTGGGGTTGGGGGAGAAGGAAAAGAAAGACGAAGGAGGGGAGGGAAAAAATGATAGAGAGGGAAAGAAAGCGAAGAAGGAAGGAGGAGAGGAGGAGATGGAAGAAAGAGGGGGAAAAAGAAGAGAGGCATTTTAGTCTTTTCACTATTATTTTATATTTGTGATTTAAGACTTGGTTTCCTAAGGCAATTAAGCTAATCTAAGAACCTATTTCACAATTTCATATATTCAGGGGTTTTTATTTGGAATTTTTCCTATAAATACTGAATAAATTAACTAATAATTATAGACCTAACTTTCTCTCTCCACGTTCTCCCTTCACTAGAGCCTAAACTCTGAAGTCGCTATCCTGTTTTACTTTTTCGCAATATTTTGTTTTTTCCCCTTGTTGAATCCAACCAAATTATCATTTAGTACTCCTCCGGTTTTTAATATGTGACCTAATTATTGAGTTAGTTTTAGTCCTAAATATAAAATCTATTTATCATATATATCAATTTTCTCTAAATTACTTCTATGGATACTCCCTCAACCATAATTAAGTAGAAGAGGGAGAAGAGGTATTAAGAAAGATGATTATGGTGTTTTAAAAAAAATATATCATTTTTCTTATAATTAACTAACTTACCTAACTTTCTTAATCTAATTAAATTAGTTAAATGAGTCTTATATTAAGAACCAGAGGAGTATTATTTATGTAATTAAGAGAGAATGTCATTAAGCAGGCCCGTGCCTTGGAAATTTTGAGAAAGATAATGAAACGGAACAAGTTTCTTAATTTCTTATGATGTTCCTCCCTCTTTTCTTCACTCTCTTTCCTGCCTTCTTTTTACTGCCAACGTCATCGTTGCCACTCCCTATATCATCATGCATAAATGCATAACTTTAACTAACTAAGTAAGTACCACTAATTAAGTCTCAAGGGACTGTTGGTATACAATTTTTTTTTTTTTTTATCATCATAAAAGACCAAACTAGTGTTTTGAGAAAGTTTAACTAACTCATGACCAATTGTAAATTATCATATACTATCTCTGGTCCTAAATATAAAATTTAGTTTGTAATGTAATTTACATTACAAATTAGATCTCATATATAGGACCAGTAGTATTTTTAATTTACTGCTCAATTGTGAAGAAAATCTTATAAATAACAACGATGTTCATGCTAATAGATATTACAGTATTGCTAAAACAACGATAATATTTTTTGGTTGCCCAAAAAAATTAATTACTAGGATTGTCATTAGTGATGGCAATTTGATGATCAACCGGTAGTTGGTTAAAGCTTATCAAACGGGTCGGCCGAAATTGGTCTTTTACATTGATAAGAAATTCCAATAGTCTCTTGGTATTTAATTGGTATTAATTTTTTTTTAAAGGAGACCTATTTGTAATTTTGATTGCAGTTATTTGTGGTTTTAAGGAATAGTTATTTTTAATTTTAAGAATATTTATGTCTAATTTTTACCCAGTAATGTTAAAATTACTAGCTTCATAACAAAGGGCAACACAAGATTGCCACAAAAATTTTCAAGTTTTAGGGTAATGACGTCACACCAACATAAAACTTAGGATACCCATGCGAAAATACTTTATGGATAAAAATGTCATTTTAACCCGTAATAAAGTTATCATAAACAAGCAAATGTTAATACGAAAGGAAAAGGACGCATAAAATAACGGTAGGACTTAGGAGTTGAGGAGAGAGATGAAAGGAGAGGAGTAAAGGTAATAGCAGGGAATTGGAAAAATGCAGAGAAGGCGAAGAGCAATTGTCATACTTACGGTGGGCTTAGTATGCCTAATGATTACCCTAACACAGTCTGAAACTGAATCTATACCAGTGGGAGTGATTCTGGATTCGGATTCATCCCTTGGTTCCATGGCTCTCAGCTGCATCAACATCTCACTCCGTGATTTCTATTCCACGCATGATTCTAATTCAACAAAGCTCCAACTTCATTTCAGGGATTCCGGAAAGAATCTCACCACTGCAGCTTCTGCAGGTAAGTGCTCCTCCTCTGTGAACCAATAATGATGTTTATATCCAAAAGAGGTGACAAAAATAATGAGGTTAAGACTTTTTTTTTTTGGGTTAATGTTTGTGAACTTGTTAGAAGCTCGAGCTTTGTTTCTTCCTCAATCTTTCTTTTTCCTGATGACATGGAAACTGAATTCCTGATCTCCCCACCCCCTTCCCCCGTTTTTTGGGGGGGGGGGGGGGGAGAACCATCTTTTCTGTCTTTCCTCTGCCTCTCTTTCTCCCTACCCCTCCTGTACTCACAATTACACAGTGGGGGGGAGAAGAACCATCTTTTCTGTCTTTTCTCTGCCTCTCTTTCTCCCTACCCCTCCTGTACTCACAATTACACGGTTTTGGATGTTAAAAATAGAGGCTCAACACTTCTTTTTTAAAACCCAACTTTTATCATTCTAAATCTTCTTTCGTAACATTCAGTATTTTAAAATAATTTTTAGTACGTTTAATATTTTAAAATATTTTTCTAGCCGCACTCTAAATTATGTTTTAATAGCACTTACTGTTTTAAACTAATTTGAAGATAGTAAGTGTTATTAGAAACATAATATTGAGACTCAATACACCAAAAATTATTTTAAAATATTAAATATTACTAAAAATACTTTAAAATAATAGATGTTGGCCTGGAAATAGTATTCAGCCTCCATTTTTACCTCCAAAATGGTATAGTTTGAGGTAGGGGATGGAAAGGATAGACCGTGGAAGTTGGTTCCCTAAAAGCCCAAATTGGTTTGACATTTTTCATATTTCTTTTAAGAAAAATTAATCTTTTAATTTTTTTAACTTTTTAATTCACTAAATTTAGTCGGTGTCATTCAGTTCTTGAATTTTTAATTTGCTTAAAATTTGATGTTTAATCTTTTTATCATTTTAAAATTTTGTCTATATCATCCCCAGCCCGTTACGAGTTTAGTATTAACCCATGTTTAGTATGAGGAAAATAGAAGAGAGGGGAGGAAAAAAATTTTAATAAGCTTGATTTAAAAATTAGAAGAAGTGAGGTTTTAATTTTTTTTTTTAATATAACACAGAATATCCTCAAGTAAATTTGGGTTTGAAACTAATCTTTATCGGGTTAAGAGCGTTAATATTAAATTAAAATCCTTCTAATAAGTATATTTTTTGATATTCGAACTTGTATTCTTCTTTTTATAGAGGTGGAACCGAGTAATATCCCAATCAACAATTTATTGGCTGAGTTTTAAAATTTTAATAAAAAGAAGATGTAAGATAAACGACTAATAAAATTTAATTATATAAGCTATAATAATAGTGTTAAAATTGCTTACGTGGCTCCATAACAATCTGCAGGTGAAGGCATTGAACTTATCCATCATCTTCATCTTCTCTCTACATTCTCTCCCTCTATTTGTCCATTTCCTCTAAGAATCCTGCTTCAAATCTTCCATTGAACCAACCACAATCTTTCGGTCTTTCCTCTCTTCTTCACTTTTTACTTTTCCTCTTTCTTCCCCTTTTTGGATCCTCCTCACGCCAGTCAACTCTGTTCTCTCATTTTCATCAACCATTCTTTTTAGCTAGGTTAAGCAGTTGTATTTAATATCTTAAAATATTTTTTAGTGCATGCATTTAAGATCTTAAAGTAATTTTGCAGGTGCGTCTAACATGGTAAATTATATTTTTGATGGATCCAACATCTTAAAAGTTTTTTTTTTCAGTTATATCTAATATTTTAAATTATTTTTTGGTTACATCTAGCTCCTTAAATTGGTAGGTTTAAAATTGTAAAAAACAAAAAAATTTAGATTGCTGAATCTACTTGGAAAAAATATTTTAGTACGTTAGATGTAACGCAAAATGCTTTAGGCTGCATGGACCTTTACAAAATACTTTGACTCTGCTAATAAAAAATATGAAATTTTTGTCGGGGGGCTCGTCAGTTCTTCAACCTACCAGATTTAGTTTAAAGTTTAAACTAGGACATTCATACAGAGCAGTCTAGATAAATTCAATGGATTACTATCATATGTTGCGTTAAATGTCGGTTGTGGGTCGGCATTCGTCGCCAGATTTATTGTCGCCTTTTTAATCCTCTGTTTGCGTCTTCGTCCATTTCAAATCCCACCTTTGTTTCCTCCAAATTTTATGTAAAATCCACGTGGAAATGAGTTAAAAGCCATCTAAGCAAAATTTTTAACGTTATTATCGATATATTTTTTTTGTCACGGATGACTCAATACTGACTTATTATGAGTTATGGATGATAAAAGAGCGCATATCATATTTTAATTTTGTAATCTGGCATCCGTTAATAAGCAGCTCGAGATCTAATTAACAAGGAAAAGGTGCATGCAATCCTGGGACCTAAAAATTCAGAGCAAGCAAGGTTTGTTGTAGAGCTTGGTAACAAGTCTGGTGTACCTGTGATTTGGTTTTCTTTATCTGGTCCATCTCTTTTGCCGCCTCGTTCCCGATTCCTCATCCATTCCATCTCCACTGGAAGCCAGTGCTCTCAGTTCGAAGCTATAGCAGCCATCATCCAAGCTTATAATTGGCAATCTGTGATCCCCATTTATGAAGAGCCAGAATTCGGCAATGACCTCATTCCATGTCTCTCTTATGCCTTGCAAGACATGGACACTCGAATGCCTTATACAAGTTCCCTTCGTCAGGATTCCTCGGATGATCAAATCACCCAAGAGCTTAAAAACATAAAAGGCAACCGAACATATGTATTTCTTGCCCATATGACCGTAGACCTTTGGTCAAGGCTATTGAAACGTGCACAAAAGGAAGGGCTGATGAGTGAAGGATACGTTTGGATACTTACGCAAGGCCTATCTTCTGTGCTAAATCCCGAAGCTCTAGATAAGAAGGCGAAAGGCTACATGGATGGTGCTTTGGGTGTGAAGCCATCATTGGATGTTTCCAACATAACTAAGCGCGCTTCCTTAGCGACAACATTAAAGTCCAAGTACGGTAAAACTCTCTCTCTATATGGCCTATGGGCTTATGACACTATCACAGCGTTGGCCAATGCGGTAGAGAAGGCCGAATTAGTTAATTCTGCTTCCAGATATAGGATTCAAAGCGGAGTTGATCTTCGCAATGAAACAGGCCCAGAACTTCGCAAAGCAATTCAGGATACTGATTTCCAAGGCCTATCAGGAGATTTCAATTTGAGCCAAGGACAACTAGAAACATCACAAATTGTAGTATACAATGTGAAAGGCCAAAATGAAAGCATCATTGGACATTGGAGCCCCGAAAATGGCCTTAAGCTTATTCACAATCACAGTGAAGGTAACGCAACGGAGAGACTAGCAAAGTTGAAAATTGGGGTCCCAAGAACGCATTTTACTGAATTTGTTAATTACTCGTCTGATCCTGAAGAAGGGCAGAATAAATCAGCTGCCGGTGGCTTTGCTGTTGATGTGTTCAAAAGAGTGGTTGATGTTTTGCCATTTTCTCCATCTTATGACTTTGTGCCCGTAAACATTAATGGAGAGCAGACTCCCTCGAGCTACGATGATCTTCTCTGCCAAATCAAAAACAAGGCAAGTTTCCATTCATTTCTGTTGCTTTCAATTGTTTTACTTTCAACAGCCTCTCTGTTTCTCAGTTTCTAAAGGAAAGTCTTAGGCATAATATTGGTATAATTTCATTGCTGATTATATTCCCCTGAAGCTTGGATACTCTCAGGCATGGAACTAGAAAATATTGATAAGCGGTTCCCAAGGTACAAATAAAAATTTTAATGGGGACAGAGCTAAGAATTCCTTTCCAAAAATTAATCTTATCTACATGCGTAATCCATGTATATTACAAATGAAGCAAAAAATTTTAGCTGGGGCAGCTGCATATCATTAGTGAGCATGCTGGCCACAAACACAACACGCATTTATATAGGCGGGTGTGTGTGTAGGGATTCATTTCCAACACTTAGTCTGTGTTTGAAAATATTGCAGAATCTTGATATTATAATTGGAGACATTACAATCGTAGCGAGTCGCACAAAATGTGTTGATTTCACAGTGCCGTATTTAGATTCAAGCATGGCAATGGTGGTAAAGGTGAGGTCCGACTCCAAAAATGGGTGGATTCTCCTCACACCTTTTGATTGGTTACTATGGCTAGTTCTTGCTGTGATTTTTGTGGGTGCAACTGTTATTGTAATTCTATTGGAAATAAAAACGAAGCATGATGTTGAAAGCAAATTCAAACACTTTGCCCGCAATCCCTTCCTCATTTACATGAGCGGTGAGTTCTCTTTTGTCGTTCGCTATTGATTTTATATATATTACTACTCCCTTCTTTCTTATTTATCTGTCAAGGGGTAGTGTCTATTTGACACACTCAATTATGGGGTGTGTTATCGATGTTTCTTGTGTGTGATGATTCCAGATGTTGAGTTTTTGAAAAGTGGGGCTTCTAAGTGGGTGGTGCTAGCGGTCACGTTTCTGTTGAGCATAGCAGTGCAAGTTTACACAGCAAATTTGACGTCAATTTTAACAGAAAGGACAACGGCAAAGCCTTCTCCATGGAAGGACTTGCAAGAGATCAAAAGGAACAGTCGGTTAGTGGGATATCAATGCGATTCCTGGGTGAAGAAGCTTCTGACTGACCAAATAGGATTGAAGGATGATCAGTTAAAGCCTTTATGTCGTGAAAATTACAGTGAAGCAATATTATCAAGAGGAGACAAAAAAGGTGTTGATGCTATTTTTGATGAAACTCCTTATCTCATGCTCTTCCTTTCCAAGTGCTCTTCTTGCAAGATGACAGGACCAATCTACAAAGGCGGTGGATTTGCCTTTGTGAGTACTGTTCTTCTCTCCCTAATATTCCTTATGGCCTGTAAAACTTTGATGATGTACGATGTTGTTGTATTTTCAGGCATTCCCAAAGAATTCTTCCTTGGTCTCAAGTTTTTCAGCTGCAATATTAAACGTGACCCAAAATGTGATGAAGTTTCGTGACATGAAGAACAACATATCCTTACCCGTCACCATTGACAAATCTGAATATAATAGTGATGTTGAGACGCGGGGTTTGACGAAAGACGACTTTGGAGGCCTTTTCCCCATAGTATACTCTGTTTTAGCTCTCTTCTTCAGCATTTCAATTCTGAAAGCTCAGTGGCTGCAAAAGAAATGGATTACATGTTGGACAGTCCGCGGCGGAGGAGTTATATGCTGAGTCGCTAGCCAAAGACATCTGTGAAAATCAGTATGTTATTTTGATTGTGACTGAAATTAAAAGTTGAAGACCTTTTGATTGTGACCGGGGAAAAACAAAAAGAAATCCCTGCCTCTCCTATCTGTTATTTGGTAATGTATAATCCATTAAGTTCTCTCATTTCTCTCTTCTGTTCACTCAGTTTGCTTATCATGTTTTCAGCTCAATATCCATCCCACACACATATATATGGTTGGTACATATATCTTTTGAATTGCCAATAATAAAACTATTGCATTAAATTAGTACATAGAGGAAGGTAAAGAACACAATTTTAGGGCCTGTATGGACTTAAAATCATTAACCTTCATTTTATTCTGCAAACTCAACTTTTTTTAAATGAAAAACGATATATTAGAAGAATTCAAGTGTCTATGGATGGTGGGCCTATCACACAATCGAAGTATTGGCTAAGGTGGTAGAGAAGCAAGGCACAGAACTTCACAGTGAAGAAATAATTTGGGAGGCTACTGATTTCAAAAGCCAGTCAGACGTAAATTTTAATTTAAGGAATGGACAACTAGATCAATCGGAGAGCTTGAAGTATACAATGTGATAGGAGACAGAGAAAGGGTAATTGGATGTTGGAGCCCTAAAACTAGACTTGCTCAAGATTGTAGTAAAGCTGGTAAGAAGTTTGGTGATGAACACCCACTAAAAGATCCACTGTGGCCGGGCGGCACATTGGATTAATCACCCAAGTTGAGAATTGGAGTCCCTAAAATTCTTTTCCTGAATTTGTAAACGCATATAATTTAAGTAAGCTTCGGATTGATAGTGGTGGCTTCGATGTTAATGTGTTCTTAAAAGCAGTCCAGGTTTTGCCATTTCCGTTAAATAATTATGAGTTTGTTCCCTTGCCAAATACTGACATGACCTTTCATGATCTTCTCTGCGGCCAATTGCTGAGAGTGAAGGCAAGTTTTCATTCTTTTTCTTCTTTTAGTTACAATGCAAAGTTAGGTGTGATACTGGTATACTTAAAAATACTTATATTCGCGTATTGATGCGCTTACTGTTACTGCCATACGGTTAATAAATTGAAGCTCTAAAGTTAAAAAGAAAATTATGGATTTTACTTCAAATTAGATAATTTTTTTTTGACAAAACAAAAAACCACCCACAACACACAACGAAAGCTTAGCTTGCTTTAGGCTATTGGACTTGGTGTTTGATGTGAAAAGCGTGCTCAAGCCTCGTTATTTTTTGAATATAAACTGAATGAGATAATAAGTGAAATGACCAACAGGTGTTTCATCCTCATAAAAGGGGTTTTGGTTGTTTAACCAAAAAGTCTTGAGTTCAAGTCTATATGAATGCAAAAGAGTTCTTTGGGAGGCATACATTTAATTAGACAAGATAATGCTCGAATCTAACCTAGATTAAGCTTAATCTAATAATAATGTCATTAAGCCTTAATGCAATCAGCAACTCATAAGACAATTTTTAAATTCTTAAAATAAAAGTAAAAAAATAACAAAAATATTGTAGTGAATAGTTAAATAAGAATAGTCATTAAATTTTTGATAACTCTCAATACATTTTTTGAATTTTTAAAATAAACATAATCAATAATAAAACTAAAGTAGCCAATAACTTAATAAAAATAATCAATAGCTAAATAAGAATAAAATCACCTTTGACACTCCTGTAGAGGGTACTCTTATTTGTCCTCCAGTTACCTCCCTCATATCATATCTTGTGCGTTGAATTATATATATAATAACATTGTTTCCCATTGCACCATAAAACACATTGTAAACTGAATTTCTACGTTCATTCAAACATTGACAATCACTCACCCTTCACTCCTACGATTGCATTGAATACAAGCGGTGCTAGCCACTCGTATGTTGGTGAGACAGGAGCAAGCGTCGCCAATTAATGGTTTAGGGATGAGGCAAAGCTGCGAGCTGGTGAAATGATTCTTCAAGCCAAATCTGTATAATTGAGAATGGCCAAACGGAATAATTGTAAAATTTCAAAGCCAATGGTCCCATCACACCCGAGCGTGGACAATGGCATCAGAGAGTGACACATCCAGGTCCCAATACCATTAAGTTGAACATTGACGTTGGGCTTCGCGAGAAAAGGTCTTCACTTCATTTTCCCCTCATCCCCACATCGGCTTTAGATCTGAAGGGAGGAATGGGAAGATAGAAAGTGGAGGAAAAGGGAGTAGGGAGACCTCTTCTGTACGGCCCACCTTGCCTCCAGGTTGGAGTGCTCAGGAAACATTCTAAATGGGGAAAAAATTAAGGGGCAGTTTTGTCTTTCTCTTTTTGACCGAAAGCACTTTTATCTTCCATTTCTTTGCCCCAGACGCTGTATCAAAAAAAATGGGAAATAATTGAGGACACGTGTCACGCAGCCATTGAACCAAGGTCATCATATTCATGCTCATCCATTGGGTCCTCTCTCACGCGTGATTCAGCCCGACACGACACCACATTATTCACGTGTTGCGTTTGCTCTCCCACATCACTCCAGCTAACGTCATTCTGTTCCCTTTTTTTTTTCCAATCAAAAAATCATGGAGCACCTCCAAAATTCTGCCTAACTTTTTCTTTAATTAAAAATTACTTTTTTTCAAAAAATAACTAAAAATGAAATGTTCTGATTTTTTTGTTTTCTCTTAATTATACAGATATGTTCTCTATTTTAAAAGTCCAAACCATTAACGGTTTCAAGAATATTCTGAAAAGATTTTTAAATAGAAGTAGTATTTGGATTGATTTTTGGAAGAAAATCAAATTAGGGTTCTTAAAGGTATAATTCGGCCATGACTTATTCCTGGGGAAATCTTGGTGCATCCTAAGTTTCATTCCCCTTTCTTTGTTTCCCCTCTTAGAGATTGGGTGAAATTCAACCTTCAGAAAAGTATAGGCAAGAATTCTTCTCTAGAATGGGATTTGGTCTGGGGTGTTGCCATTTGGAAGCTGTGGACTTGGGGCAACTATTCAATCTTCAAGATTGATTTCACGAAACCAACAAATCCTGATTTAATTATCAATCACTCTTGGAAACTGTATGTACAAACCAATAAAGAACCCTTTGTAAAGGGTAAACCATAGAGCACAAATTTGCGATGTGGACACTCCCCCCAATGGGGTGGATTAAAGTCAACGTCGATGGCACTATGGTATCAACTTCAAACCGAGCAAGCTGTGGGGGAGTCATCAGAGACCACAATGGGAGTTGGATTGCTGGGTTTGCCTATGCACTGGGAACCTGTTCAGCTCTTGAATCTGAGGAATGGGCGGCCTTTAAAGGACTCAAACTAGCTTGGGACATGGGGTTTGAGAAAGTGATACTTGAATCAGATTCGAAGATTTGATTCAGACGATTACAAACTGTAACCACGGTACCAATCACAATCTTGTGGTTTTTCAATTACTACAGATGCTGAATCTCCAATGGGAAGTACAAATTCTGCATATTTCTAGGCATCAGAATCGTGTTGCTGATTCTTTGGCCAAAGAGGGGCTCTCGTCTTCGGATTTCTTTCCTTCTTGCCCACTTCATCTTCAGACTATGGTAGCTGACGAGAGTTTGGGAACTCCTTCCCCTTCTTCTTAATTTGCAAAGTTGGGCTTTGCCCTCTCCCATGCCGAAAAAAAATGATTTGGATTCGTTTAGATTTGGATCCAACTTATCTCTTGTTAAATCCTTTCATATCGTTCCATTGATCCCAAGCGTGCAACAATTTATCAAAATTAATTATTTTAATCAGTACCTTTTTATCATCTTAAAGAAATGATATTTCTCAAATTTAAGGTGATTACATAAGAAATATATTAGTGCGATAAACACATTATATATCTTACTCTTTTAATAATCCCCCTTTTGTCATGTTTATTCTTTGTTATTTCAGCAGGCTTATTTTATCTTCGAGGATAAATTTAGAAACAGCTAAGAATAACTTACTTCCCAACAACAACTTCATTGATTTTTTTTTTAATGCCAATCCCATTGTATTCTGTCCAAAATAAAATACTCCGATTCTTAATATAAGATTTTAATAACTAATTTGAAAAAAATTAAAAAAATAGACTGATTTAGTTATTTATAACAAATATGTGTTGATTTCCTTAAATTTCTTTTATTTAATCATAGATATTAAAACTACACTTGGCTGGGAATACTTTATAATCAAAAAAGATATTTTTCAGAACATACTATAAATTTGTGAGATAAAATAAATTAAAATCTTATATTTAAGACTTGTTAACTAATTCTTATATTTAAAATAGGAAATAACAGGGTTCTGGTCTTTTCGCCGGGGGTCATGCCAATTTCCGTTATGGGCCAAACCCAACCCACTTCGCTTAGATTGAATCTTTCTGGTCACCGGTCAGCACAAGGATAAGGTCGTCATTGCCGGCAATGGCACGGAAGGGGTTGACTGACCATGACGAACATAGACACAGGTCAATGCTTTGCTTTCTAATTTTCCACTCGTTTATTCCGTAGCCTTTTCCAATTATCTTTGGAAAATTTTGGCCAAAAACATTATCTGTGAGAAAATAGAGTCTTTAAAAATTGAAAAATACACCCCATCAAGAAAAAATCTTCTTTTAATAGAGACAGAAAGATGATCCAAAAGGCGCGTTAGTTGTGGAAAATAAGAAGGTTTCCTAAAATCTTCCCCATGGGACCCAAGTTGATGGCATGACCGGAATACCACATTTTAAAAAATTATTTATTTGAAATTAAACTAAACGTATTTTTTTAATAATCAGGTGAAATTTTGAGGTGAATTTTACTATTCATCACGTAAAAATATAATTTTAATTTATTAGTTTTTTTTCAATTGCTTAAGCTTTTGTTGTTTAGGCTACGGGAGGTCGCCCCCACAACAACGTAAGAAATTTGTGACGATCAATTTTACTTGATTTGCAAAGATTGATGCGTTATGGTTCTCTTTCGGCTTATCGCTCTTTATTTTTGTGGACAATATCATTCTTCTTATCCGGTCATTCTTCTTTCTGGTCACCGGTCAGCACAAGGATAAGGTCGTCATTGCCGGCAATGGCACGGAAGGGGTTGACTGACCATGACGAACATAGACACAGGTCAATGCTTTGCTTTCTAATTTTCCACTCGTTTATTCCGTAGCCTTTTCCAATTATCTTTGGAAAATTTTGGCCAAAACATTATCTGTGAGAAAATAGAGTCTTTAAAAATTGAAAAATACACCCCATCAAGAAAAAATCTTCTTTTAATAGAGACAGAAAGATGATCCAAAAGGCGCGTTAGTTGTGGAAAATAAGAAGGTTTCCTAAAATCTTCCCCATGGGACCCAAGTTGATGGCATGACCGGAATACCACATTTTAAAAAATTATTTATTTGAAATTAAACTAAACGTATTTTTTTAATAATCAGGTGAAATTTTGAGGTGAATTTTACTATTCATCACGTAAAAATATAATTTTAATTTATTAGTTTTTTTCAATTGCTTAAGCTTTTGTTGTTTAGGCTACGGGAGGTCGCCCCCACAACAACGTAAGAAATTTGTGACGATCAATTTTACTTGATTTGCAAAGATTGATGCGTTATGGTTCTCTTTCGTCTTATCACTCTTTATTTTTGTGGACAATATCATTCTTCTTATCCAGTCATTGGCGCAAATTAAAGTGTCACAAGGTAAGGCAGACTTGCCGTGGCAAAGCTTTCTACTCTGGAGAATGGAAATCATGTGCAAATTAATTTCCGTTCTGTGAGAGCTCGCTTCACTTTGATTTACTTGAACATTAACCTGTGTAGAAGCATTCACGAACAAGATGGATATGCCATTTCTGAAACTGCTATCCCATTTTCTGCTTCTCACCTTCTTGAATTTCGCTTCCACTTCTGAAGCAGACATCCCTATTTACATTGACCACAACTGCACAACGAATAAAAACTTCACTTCCAATAGCCCTTACCAGTACAACCTTAACACTCTTTTAATTTCCTTCTATTCTATGGCCGACGGCACTAACACCACTCCTGAATTCAACACCACTAGCTTTGGCGGCACAAACACGAACGACGCCGTATATGGAGCGTACATGTGCCGAGGTGACGTCCCCACTCAGATCTGTCGAGATTGCGTTCAGGACGCCACAAATAGAATAGCCTCGGAGTGTCCCTGCGAGAAAGAGGCAATCATCTGGTACTTCGAGTGCTTCCTCCGCTATTCCGACCGCTCTTTCTTCTCCACCCTCCAACAACAGCCTGTCAGGTGGAGATCATACTTGTACCCAATTTTAAGTTGGTTTTGATCCTAAATATAAGATTTATTTCTCATATTTATTATTTTTTTAAATTATCTTTATAGATACTCGTTCAACTATAATCAAATAGAATAGGGAAATAAAATATTAAGAAAAATTATTGTGGTGTTTTAGAAAAAATGTATTATTTTCTTATAATTAATTAACTTACCTAACTTTCTTAATCTAATTAAATTAGTTAAATTGATCTTATATTTAGCATGAGCGAGCCAGACGGCCTGGACGGAACACATACGACAGATAAGGAATTGAACGAGACATTGAATGATGCGGTGGTGGAGGCAGTGACATCAGGTACCAAGAAATTCGCAACAAAAGAAGCAAACTTGAGTACTGGACGATCGCAATACACTCTTGCACAGTGCACGCCGGATCTGTCCCCACAATTCTGTGGTGAGTGTCTACGTGGCCTTATAGAAGATATTCTGAAGCAGGGGGACTACGACAGTGGTGGATATCAGAATCCGAGCTGCCATTTGCAAGTCTCAAGATTCCGATTTTATTATAAGGGCAATCAGCCTCCCTACGATGGTTCTACCTTTCAAGGTAACGTTACCATGCTTTTTTTTTCCCCCCCTTTCCTTTACTTTCCCCTTTCTGCGCGCGAGTTGATAATTCGGCAATTTTTATAAGCGGCCAAAAACCATGTAGAAGAAGAAAAGACTTCCTTCGTCGCTGGATTAGTACTCCCACATATTTGATTTTGCTCTGATTTAAGTTTTATGCATGTTATGTTTTTCTTTCTGTAAGATACTTCATAATTTTGTCACTCTACATAAATTTCAAAAAACACAATAAAGTAAAAATGTAAAATAAATTTATTTCTATATATTCATTAATGATTAGTATAATATATATATATATATATAAGAAAACAAAAACATGATATATATAGTTGATTTCTTGTTTATTTATTTTTAATTGTTTCTCAAATATGTTTAAGAATTAAAAATATTTCGATGTATGTACTTTTTTTTTTTTTTTGAAGAGTTGATTTTTCAAGGGACAATTATATCCAACGAAATCCATCCTTCAGGATAGAAATTACAGCTTCTCTCTCTAAAGAGGTTGGATGATGTTATTGTGATACCATTCCGTTGGTTATTTGGAAAGTTCTCAAATTAAATTAACAATTGAAAATTGGATCCAGTGAGAGTTCCTTCATATTGTTGTCCCGACTCCTAAAAGTCCAGAAAGCTTTTCCATATGTTTCCTTCGTCACCCCCTTTTTTCAGCCTCCTACTTCGACATCAAAGCTATAAATTTAATGTTTTAATTCCTCAATACATTCTTTGCGTTAGTTTTTTCTTTTTCATAAAAATGGCACAATCCATTGCCCTCTATAATTTTTTTCCTTGGGATTGATTATGTATGTTCATTCAAATTAAAGGTTATATACACGCACCCTTTTAATAGTTGTCACTAATTTGCACTAAAAAAAAAATTCAAGGACTAAAGTCAAAGGAGATACGTTTTTCGATTTATTTTTTAGTTAACTTTTCCTATTTTTAAATTGAAGATGTGATTGAATTTTTAAGAAATAATTATCCAATTAAAGTGAGAGTTAACCAAAAAAAAAATTTGTTCACCTTTCGAAAAACGAAAACAACAATTTACTCGTAATTAAAGTACAATGATGTTTCCTTACTTGTTGAAGTATTAATTGGTTATTTATGAATAGTACATCAAGGCCATGACATAGTCATAAACATTTTGTTTCTTTTATTGAAAAGGGCTTGGAAGTCCTACTTTTGCATACTTGAACTGCTCGACCACCGAAAATTTTACTGCCAGCGATCCCCACCTAAACAACCTCAAAAGTCTCACTCTCGAGCTCTTCATGTCATCCAACGACACCAAAAGCAATGGATTCCACAGCACCACAGTCGGAAACAATTCCGACACTACCGTCTACGGCCTCTTCATGTGTCGGGGTGACGTGCCCCTTGGGCTCTGTCATGAATGCGTCAGTAACGGAACTGAGGAACTGAACTCTTCTTGCTCCTCTTCGAAGGAGGCTATCATTTGGTATGACATGTGCATGCTTCGCTACTCCAATCGCTCTTTCTTCTCTACCCAAGACACACAACCTATATATACAGAAGCTGCTGGGGATATGCTTGGAAACCAAACAGATGCCTTCAATCGGCTATTAGCTGCTACATTGAGTGGTCTAGTGAAGGCGATATCAAACTCACCGCCCGTAGGAGTGAAGAATTTTGCGACAAAAAAAGAAGTCATCACTTCAGAGCTTACAACGTTGTATACTCTTGCACAATGTACTCCAAACCTGTCTAGCCAAGATTGCCAAAAATGTCTACAGGATGCTCAGGAACATATGACGTTATGTTGTCTTGGACAGCGAGGAGGAAAAGTCATGAGTCCTAGCTGCAACTTGAGGTTTGAATCGTACCGATTTTATGATGACAGTAAAAGTGCTGTTTCGATGCCTCCTGCATATCCCCCGACTCCCGAAGTTCACATTTCGGGAAATACAGGTAAAGTGATTGAGGATCTAATTAATCATCTTTCTCACGGACATAGTTCACTACATATAAATTGACATTCCTAGTTTGCTCTCAATTTTCTACATACAAATCTGCTCCATTTCTTGTCTATGGCATGCAAATACACACGTGTTAATTTACGCAGGAAAAGATCAGGACCACTCACGAACAATTATAACAGCGGTGTCCCTTACTGTTGTCTCAATCATGCTTTTTTGTTTCGGCTTCTATTACTGGAAGAGAAAAAAGAGCAACAGTTATAAGGCCATTCTGAAGAAAAATTGTATGTATGCTATTTTTTCTCAGAAAAAGAGAAAGAAAAAAAGACGAGTCAGTCGACTGTGAGAAAAACTATATTATTGCGGTGTACTTACCTTAAAATGTACATATGTTTATAGTCGGAGCTGAGGGAGCCACATTAGAGTCATTGCAATTCAATTTGGCAACAATTGAAGCTGCAACAGATAAGTTCTCACTTGAAAATAGAATAGGCAAAGGTGGATTTGGAGAAGTCTACATGGTAAATTGATTATGCGATCAAACATGTCTATTTATGTATATTGTTGATTGTACATAAAGAGAGCGTCTACTATATTATGAAAATAGATTGTCAGCCCCTGATTATCTAACTATATTATGATTTCAGGGCATTCTTCCTGATGGTAGCAAAATAGCTGTAAAGAGATTGTCAGAAAAATCAAGTCAGGGCTTATTAGAGTTCAAGAATGAGGTTTTACTAATTGCCAAGCTTCAACACAGAAACTTGGTTGCATTATTAGGATTTTGCTTGAAAGATCAAGAGAAAATACTTGTCTATGAATACGTTCCTAACAAGAGCCTCGATTACTTTTTATTTGGTTCGTCCCTTCTAATCAAACTGTTCTTACCATTTTTCAATTTTCCATTCATGTATGATCCATTTTTTTTATTACTCTAAGGTGAATATATATTTATTGTATAATCTGTAATTTGATTTTAGACATAAATATATACATCGTGGTTCAATTGTATGCTCACAAAATAATTTAATTATTTATAGGTTCACAAAAGTCAAGAGTGTTAAATTGGCCAGAGCGTCACAAAATTATAGGAGGAATTGCTCGAGGAGTTCTTTATCTTCATGAATGCTCACGCGTTAAAATAATACATCGAGATCTCAAACCTAGCAATATTTTGTTAGATGATGAGATGAATCCAAAAATTTCTGATTTTGGAATGGCGAGAATTGTTGGCATTAATGAAACTAGGGGAAACACGAATAGAATTGTTGGGACACTGTAAGTTCTCTATCTCTATGGCCTTGTCGCCCTTGCTCTACATGTATATGTGTGCGCTTATGTATGTATCTTAGTTTTTTATGTATATTTTGCATGTGCGCTTTAATTTTCTATTGAATCTAAATATTGATGCAAGACTTTGCTCAAATTATATGGGGCTAAAATTCCAACATACATTGATGCATTTATGTCTGATTTTTTTTTTTGTAGGGGTTACATGTCTCCAGAATATATCAAGTTTGGACTATTTTCTGAAAAATCAGATATTTACAGCTTTGGAGTCATTGTTTTAGAAATTATAAGTGGAAAGAATATATCTTCTCAATGTGAATCACATGAATCTCAATATGCTGGTGGACTCTTAAGCGATGTAAGTATAGTAAACTTTTAGTGTTGCTCAAATGATCATCTCAAACCGGTCATTGTTGTTGTCATCATAAGCATCAAACAACCATTGGAGCTTATGTTAACAAAAATCTATAATCAAATTAGTAGCATGCCCTATTTTAAACTAGTGATTTAACATAATGGCAGGCTTGGAAGCATTGGAGGGATGACAATTTGATAGCGATATTGGATTCGAATTTGACAGAAGCTGGGTCACATAGTGAAATAATCAAATGCATCCATATTGGCTTGCTGTGTGTTCAAGGAAATCCAGGAGTTAGGCCTTCCATGAACAAAGTTGTTCAATATCTGAGTAATGATTCAATTCAGTTGCCAATTCCTCAAGAACCAGCATTCTTCATCCATAGTCAAATGGAACCAGCGGAAAGCAGTAGGTCAATGGAGGCTCAACTTGCCAACCATAATCAATATTCCATCAATGAAATGTCGGAGAATATAATATCTCCTCGCTAGATCGCAGGAGACTTCAACTTTTGTTTTTCTCTGCTTGAGAATTGAAGGTTTAAAATTTTTTCTCTTATTGCATAACAAGCGTGGCTTTATTTTTAAAACATGCTTGCAATGACAATTTGATTATTTTAGACTTGGTTTGCTTTCTGGCCCATTTTTCCTTTGTCTGTCGTCCATTAAGAGGTCATGGCTCTCTAACCTTCTTTCAACTAAAGGGATTAACATTTGCTTCAGTTGGATCCATTAGCAGGCTTCAACCATCCAACAAAACAATACAAACTATGAAAGCTAAAGTTGATGAACTAGGGGCAAAATATTAACAATTAATCATAAATCTATAATTTTAGTGCAAGTATCAACTATGCATATTTTTCTATCATAAATACTTTTAAATATACATTAATTCACCAAAAAGTATAATAACTAAGGGAAAACATGATGAAATAACATGAATTTCACAGGGTTATATAGCAAAGGCTCTATCTTTGTATGTGGGCAATACTTCAATCTTGTAGATACCAAACTAAGCAAGTGAAGTTTAGGAAAAAGAATAAATAAAAGCCTTGTCCTCGGGAGTAAAAGAATTCACTCGACAACACTTCATTTCAAAGCATGATTCTTTATTTCCAAGTCAGTTGGTAAGCTCCAAATTTGACAATGCCATAAAAAAGCATGTTTCTGTGGAACTGACAATTAAATTGAATCATCGCTGAGATCTATATAAAATAAAACAATTCTTGTTGAAACTAGTTTCAATAATCATTATCGTGATGAATACTATAATACTCATCAAATCTCAACTATTCCAATTTAATATGAGTGGCTAAAATTTAATTTTTGATATCTTTGTTTTTAAAAAAGTTTTCCTTTAATAGATAGATGATTCAAAATAAATGTAATTTTTCACCTATAATTTTTTTAAAAAATGATTTCTTTATTTAAAAATTATTAGTTAAAAATTTTAAATCTAGACCATTAAAACTATATCTGAATGGTAGATTTTACTGTAACGATGAGTATCTCGATGTTCACCACTGTGATGAGTGCCAAGACTGGTTCTAATTGTAACCATACACAAAGGCTTGATTTGCATCTAGATTTTCTTGAATAGAAAACAACTTAATGCAAAAGGATGCATTTAATCACTTCATTACATTATCTGAATTCATTATTTATGCTTCAATCTAATATCTCTATCAATTTTATCCTACCCCCACTGATTACAAGTTTGTAACAATTAAGTAAAACAAATTATTATAATAATCTCCCTTTCATTATTAATTGCCATATATGTTGAATATCCAGAATATTACCTGTACATTGCATATTTTGAAAACATATAAACACTGAAAAAGAAAAATATTAATAACAACATTTTTATACAATACATAATAAGAACATAAATTGGGACATTCAATGATTAGTTGAGATGTAAATTATTGAATCTCTTCTTATGAACACTTATTTTTCTTCATTTAACTCAACTATATCAAAACAGACACTATAAGAAAAAAAAAGAGACTTTAGGCAATGACTTTCGGCGGCAACAAAAAAAGTCACAGCTGAAAGTCCACTTTCAGCGGCGACACCAAAAAGTCGCCGCGGAAAGTCTTAATTTCAGCGGTGAACTTTCAACGGCGATTAAAAAAGTCGCAGCTAAAAGTTCACTTTTTTCAGCGGCGACTTTTTTTGTCACCGCTGAAAGTGTAATATAATAATATATATATTTTATTTTACAATATTAATAAACAAATTCAATCTAGCTCAGCGACAAGAAGATTGGATACGAAAAGAGGTGGTCACGAGTTCGAATCTTGAAGAAGACACATTTAAGGTGAAAATATTTGGACGATGGCGTGGCGGGGAGGAGTGATGTGGCAGTGACGTGGAGATGGCTAGTGATGATGTGGCGGCCAGCAGTGATGATGTGGCATTGGTGAAGCCAATTCTTCTTAAGCATTACTTTCAGTGGTCCTTTAGCGGCGACAAGAATGTCACCGTCGAAAGTGTCTTTCAACGGCGACATTCTTGTCACCGTCGAAAGTGTTTTTAGCGGTGTCTTTCAGTGGTGACATTTCTAAAAGTTGCCACTGAAAGTTTTCAGTCACGGCTGCTACAACAACGACTTTTGAGCAGCGACAAGTCGCCCCTGAAAACTTTCAGTAGCGACTTTATACTTTCAGTGGTGACTTTTTGCCGCCGCTGAAAGTCAATCTTTTTGTAGTGAGATATAGAGCTTAAAGAGAAAAGATTTAGAACTATGTACCAACTATTTTATTTGCACTTCCTTCATTTGTGATGATAGCAACCATTTTAGCTAAGCCAACATATGATATTTTTGGATTCACTTTATCATCTAATAAAATATTACTTGGTTTGATATCATGATGTATAATTTTAAGATAGGACTATTCATTGATAAAAAAAAATTTCTTGAGCAACTCCTGCAATGATTTTACAAGGCTCTACCCAATTTAGTGCTTTGCCTTTTTGGAAACCTGTACATTAATTGTTGCGAGTGATTATATATATAGAGACAAAATAAAGGTAATCTAATTATAGACAATTAACTCCACCATACATCAGATAGCGTGAACAACAAATTTCAGTAAGAGTTAAAGAAGGTATAGATTGTCAAAACAAATAAAAGTTAGTCAAGGTTCCGAACATATTCATAAACAAGGATTTTCTCTTGTTCTTCTATGCAAAATCCAAGCAAGGCCACCAAGTTTATGTGCTGAAGTTTGGCAATCAATAAAATCTCGTTCTTGAATTCTTCTCCACCTTGACCAGAATTTTTTGAAAGTCTCTTGACAGCTAATTCTTGACCATTTGAAAGAACACCCTAGAACCATAGATGATTAGATTAAAAGTTAAGAAACATATATAAATGCGTTCGTGTGTCTATGTGTAACGTTTATACTGATGACGTGTGTTACCTTGTAAACCTGTCCAAATCCACCTTGGCCTAAACATTTTTCATGAAAAAACTTATTTGTTGCAGCTTCAATAGTGGCCAAACCAAATTGTAGAGGCTCTAAATTATGGCTTTCATTTCCAACTAGACACACAGAAAATAGTAAAGGATGCTGAAAGCAATAAAAGCATCGATACAAAAGCTCTTTAGACAAACCGAATTTTATGGATAAATAAAAATTTGTCCGAGAACCAAAATTACTTACAGTATTTTTGTCTGAGAAGAGCGTTGCGTCTCTTCCTGATTAGATTCTTTGAGAGATAGTAGGCGACACAAAAAAAAAAAAAATTCCCAGACCACCAAAAGAAACCACAAGTACCATAATAGTCCCTGTTGACTGACCTTTCCCTTTTACTGCGAAAAGTCAAAAGCATCATATACTTCCACGTCTCAATGTAATGACATCATATGAAAATTGACTGTATCCCGTGAGACCAGGGGATCATATTCACATTCTGATTAGGTTCAATTTTCCTCAGCTGTCATGTTATTTTTTGAAAGTTTATTTTGATGCCAAAATCAGCGTAATCTTTTTCTTTAATCGACGTACCCAGATATGCATTTTAAAATAAAAATCAGAAAAGCGTATTAGGTACTCAGCAAACAAAAAAATGTTTGAGTTTTACCTTGAGGATCTGAAGAACTTGTTGGAGGAGAAAGTGCAGGCGGTGTAGGCGCCGTCGCTTCTGGCTGATCATCAGACTTATAAAAAGGATATAACTCATAGCGAACGTTGCAACTCATACAACTCTTCCTCCTTGTTTTCCCAAACAGCACCATTTGAAAAGTCTCCAATCACACCACTAAGACAAATTCTGCAATCTTGGGATGATAGGTCCTGCGTGCACCGAAGTAGAGAATACGTTGTTCCGAACCCAGATATGCTTGGTTCCCTTGTGGCATATTTCTTAGTGCGGTTAGCTGCTTCATGGTTAAGCGTGCTCAACAATATCTGCAAGAAGCTCAGCCGGGACACTTCGCCGGTGTTCAAGAGGCGCAGTGTAGGCCATGTTTCGACGGTGGAGAGCAAGGGATGGTTCGAATAGCGAACCATGCACTCGTCGTACCAGATACTTGCCTCCTTCGAAGTTCTACACTCGGAAGATAATCTTTGGGTGGCGGTAAAGACGCATTGTTTCAGCTTTGCTTTTATTTATTCTTTCCCACCACCCTTTGCTTCTTCACTTTTCCATCGTTTCTGTAAAATTTTCCAATTTCAGTTGAAAAATGAACCTCAAAACTCATTGGAAAAACCTACCGGGCCGGGGTGGTGCACGGATTCTCTCTAGGGACAGCAAGGTCATTTACTTTGTAAACTCTTGTTTATTTAATGTCATTTTGTCTTGTTCCCCAAAAAAAAAAAAAGACGAAAGTCATTTTAAGCTATTTGTGCTTTAAGCTTTTGAAAAAAATTAAAATTAAAAGTTTGTTTCTGACCTAATTGTTTAAACTTTAAAGATCTCGTTCATTTAATTTTTTTTAAGATATGTATTCAATAATTTATATTTATAGTCCCCACGGATTAACATATCATTCATTCCTCTAGATAAATACATAAATTTCTAATTAAATAAAAAGTTTTAAGCAGTTGTACAGACGAAATCTCGGATGCTCACATACGGACATACACAAAAGATTTCCCAGCAGCTCAAATTAAATTTTGTGTATTGCAATTATTATTATCTGAAAACAGATATTATTACAAATGGTTTTAAATTAGTAAACGTTATATGTTACTCTTTATGACGGTAATTTCATATCAGACATATATTTGAGTAACCTTGCTTGTTAAATAAAGTACTCTATTAATTTGTTCTCTGTAGTTATAATATTTGAAATATACATGTGACGTGAGGGTTAGCGAGGGTGATATGTATTTTTTAAAAAAAAATAAGTGAGACTAATAACATTTACTATCGAGATATACTCTGTCATTCTGTCAGTCCTAAATATAAGACCTATTTTATAGTATATAATACACTGTAAAATAAATTTTATATTTAAAACCAAAGGAGTATAAATATCGCATTACCTGGCCTTTTTTATCTTTAGTCTGAAGATGCAAACAAAAAGGGAAAATAGATCTCCGGCTTCTTCACCTTGTTTCTTTCTGGGGTCTGGATCCCGAGATTGAACTTGAAACTGATAAAGAGAGTGGGCTGTACACACTAGGAAGAGGATTCTCTCCGCTACCTAGCCTTTTTAATCTTCAATTTTTGTTCTGAAGATGCAAGGATCTTCTTTGATACATTTAATACTTTATGAAAAATGCTTACATATACCAACGGGGTTGGTCCAAGTGGTAAGCGGTTTGGTACCGTTTAAGTGAGGTCTTGAGTTCAAGCCTTAGCGTATGCAGAAATCCCCGTTGGGAGACTCACCCACCACAGCTCGGTGCTCGACGCGGGTTGGATCCAGATGTAGTTGGAGCAAAGCTCCGGTAAACTGGGTGGGCAACCAAAAAAAAAAATACTTACATATAACTGAATTAATGCAGTTATGGTAATTTTGACCATGTTTCATACCAACAAATACATAAAAATACCGCTCAAATTTTATATTTAAAAGAAAAAATTAGATTTATTATTATTGTAAAACGGGGATGTAGGCAAATAATCAAGATCAGCTAGGAATTTTCCCGATGATGCCGCTTTTGTATAACGAATGAATCTGGGGGCTAAAAAGTACAGCGTTATTTTCGTTTGTTTTTATTGATTTAATAGTGTTGTTAAATTTATTATAATAACTAAAAGTAATTTTAATTTCATGCAAAAAGAACAGCAAAGAAATTTTGTAGAAAGCCACGCAAACTTTTTTTTATTATGCATCTGTATTCTTTTATTAGAGAAAATCTTATTCGAGGTACTATTGATACTGAGTGTGAGCACCTCTACAATAGAAATTCGAACCTTGATTTGATATGTTATGAGGAACTAACTCCTTATATTAAACCCAACCCGTTGATAAGCCACGTGAATTAAATCACATGTTATGAAAAACTGTTGGGGATATGTTTTTTCCTTTGAACTGGCGCTTTTGGGTTAGGAACAAGGCCAGAGCTTCTTCGGGACAAAAGCGTAGACGAGTCGGTCTAAGTAACTCACATGTTCACAGAGAAGCTTTAGCCTGTGCTGATCTTCTGGGCAAGGCTGCACATGTGGCAAGTAGAACTCCTCTATATTTGCACTCGGTCATATCTACTTGTGCAGCTCAATACGCACTGGACAAGAGTTAGACTTTCCTCTAGTCTAGTCTCTTTTTTGTAACAAGCTTTGCTTGCCTCTTTCAATTCAAAAGAAAGAAACTCACATATTTATGTTGTTTGATTGTGAAGAACTGAAATTATGTTTTTGAAGAAAACGTGAAAACAAAGGACGTCAAAATGCTTTCGAGATCTGTTTGTACTGTCTGGGCCAATAATAACATTGTACTGTTTGGGCCTCTCTTGGGCCTATGTGGGGCCTACTTTTGATCTGAAAAGTCCCAAAAATTTAACCCAAAAATAAAATATTAATTCCAAGTAATATTGATGCTTATCAGTAACTATTTACTTGTAACCTTTCATAATTTTTCTAGACTTCCAAAATTACACTTTTCTCTATGAAAAATGCTCTTTTAATATGAGAATATGATTTGAAAATTTTCATGATTTTTCTTCACCTCCAACTATTTATTTTGAATTTTTTCCAAATAGGCCCTTAATCAGCAGAACTACCAGAAATAAATTCCCCAAAATAATTTCCTATGCTTCCGGGGAGTGAAACCAATTCCAATAAACATTTAGATAATTATTCTCTATTTTTCCAAAATTATTGAGGTCTCTAAATATTTAAAATAATTATTTCCACTCAATTTTTAATATTTTTTCTGAAAAACCTCCATTTTCAGAAAATTCTGTAAATAACTATTTCCATACTATTTTCACCTTCGGGGCCTCAATTGAAATTCCAAACCTCTACTTTATCTTTTTACCATTTTACGGGAATTTTCTAAAAAAATTTCTAAATTTTTTCATTTTGTCCTTCATAGACTGATAATTTCAAAACTATCAGTTCGAAGTCTATCGGGGTTTCACATCAAAAATTGTTTCATCCTTATTCTAATTTTTAACTCCCTATGTCGGTGTAAACTTTTCAGGATGTGACAGATAACATATATTCAAGATCAAAAATTGCTTCTAGAAGATGATCATAAGGATCAAAGGGAGTACAACTTTTTTTTAACACCCTTATTTATGGAGAGGATAAGTAGAAATAATAAGGAAAAAAAAGTAGAGAGAGATATATAATTAATTATGTGTAAAAATAAAAAAATTAAATGAATTGAATAATTAAAGAAGTCCACATTAATACTTATAAAAACCCACACCCCTGTTCACCAAAAAGGGAAAAAAAAAACCACACACCTTCAAAAGATTTGATGCTTATAGACCAGTCTTGAAGAATTATATAATTTTGCTATTTATTCGCAAACATGAATCACAATTACCTAAAAATGCAGATATGATCATCTGTGTGTGTGACTTCTGAATAGTTGTATAGATCAATTGATAATAATATGTACTGAACAAACTATACATGGCAATATTTTAAAAGTTAGATTGAATGTCAAACTGAAAAAAAAAATAACAAGTCACGATTCGTCCAGTTGAATAGGTTAGATCGGCAATCAAACTGATAATATAATAATTAAATAAAAACTAATATTATATGTTTGTATAATAATATATGTATGAAAATAAAATATTAAGTTGTCAAATAATTTAAAAATCAAAGTAAATAGTCCATTTCATAATAAATTAACAAACTCATATGATAATAATGTATCGCACAACAAATCATTGCTAGTAATATAGTAAAAACACAGATGTTCAATTTTACATTAATTATTTTAGATAAAAAATAAAAATCAATTAAATTAAATAATTGTAAATAAATCTTAAAAATTTATAAAACTCAAAATATAAACAGCAAAAAAAAAAATCTGCCTACAGCCTTCACATGTCTCCAGGACACATCCTCCAAGAGCTCTGAATTGATGCTTAAAACTAGAGTTGGTAATGTGGGCTAGTAATGTGGATACGCACCAGCCCGCAGCGGTGCGAGCTAGCGGACTAGCCCGCCGGCCTGCCTAAATATTTTTTAAATAAAATTATTATTATTTGTATAGGTTGAGCTTAGTTTAAAATGTTGAAATTAGATTTGGAGTTTTGAACTTAAGTAGTACGTTATAATAAAATAATGTGAGGATTAATTTATAATTTGAGAAGATATTTTAGTTTGACTATTTTTCATATCCAAATTAATTAAAGAGATCTTTTATGTGTGTATTACATATGCAATTGCGTAAATGAGGCAATGTTAATGTGGAATTTGAGGATCAAAATCCTCTAACTATGTTATATAATATATTTGGAATTGCATAAAAATAAAAATTAAAAAAAAAAAAAGCAGGCGAGCTCACAGCGAAATAGGCTCAAAGTGGTACGAGCTAGAGAAGTCCGCACCTTGATGAATTGGTATTTTGCCAATCTGAGCCCGCCATTTTTGACAAAACCAAAAATTACCCGCAACACACACTGAAAGCGTAGCTTGCTTTAGTCTGTGTGAAAATGCAAAAGACTTCTTTGGGAGGCATACTTTTAATTAGACAAGATAATGCTTGAATCTGTCCTAGATTAAGCTTAATGTAGTAATAATGTCATTAAGCCATAATACTATCAGCAAGCCTCATCAAATGTTATATCTTTTTCATAATAAAAGTAAACACGCCATCAATTACAAATTTTTAACATATCAAAGTTCAAATTTCAAAAATTCAATGTGAAAATTTGACTGCATATGTTGCAAACATGACACTCTCCATCCGTAATTTACTGCTATTTATATATGTATGAAATAATTCAATTTGGAGCTGATTTTTTAAAATCTAACATGGAACATCTTAGAGGAAAATGTTAGTTATGTAATGTTATGGTTATTAAATAACAAAAAGCCCTTTACTAAACTTTCAAAAAAATTTTGGATCCAAGTTAAAACTAAATTAATATTATGA